AAGTCCGTTGTACAGAAAACGTGCCATGTCGATCATATATTAAAATCAGTCACTGTGAAATGTCGTCCGACTATTATTACTAGAGAGTGTGTGGACTGTAGTATGAATGTCATTATGCAATTTTATTGGATAACGATTTAAATAAATTAATTTTGATATTAATATAGATATAATGAAATTTGGAGCAATTGTACCATGTCCAGAAGTTTCAACAAATAAAAAATAACATTTAAGTGAAGGATCAATATATTTAATTTTAATTTTATTTCATCGGTAGAATAACACCGAAACAAGTTGTAAAGAATTTTTTTTTCTTTTCCATTACAAATACTAGCGATGTTAGCCGGCTAAGGACTTAATAAATCCCAGTTGACAAAAAAACCTTTTCAGATGCTACTAAGCTTGCCGGTATTATTATTACTATTATTTACTATTGTTATTATAATATCTTGCCTTTAATGGTTCAAATTATTTGTTTTATTCGCTATGAATTTGAGTATTCGAATTACATTGAAAGTTCTATTCGAATAAACGAATAAAACTAATAATTCGAATAGAGCGAATAATTCGAATAGAACGAATAATTCGAATAGTTTGAATAAACGAATAGTTCCAATAAAACGAATAGAACGAATAATTCGAATAAAATGAATAATAATAATTCGAATTAAAATAAGAATTTGTATTACAAATAGAAACTCTATGACTTTTATCCTGCTATGATGTATTGTATTTTGCTTTTTGAGTAAATGTATGTTTTTTTTGTCATTCCAAGTGATAAATGTCTATACCATTGAATTCTGCACTAAAATTCTAGACGTAAAAATGAATGTCAAGAGATATTTTTTTTAGCCGGCTAACATCACTAACAAATACTAAATATGCTAAATATTTAACCGGCGATCAGCAGAGGAACGATGTCACAAATTTTACTAATTGACGACGACTTGTATAAAAAAATGGTACCATATCAGCCGATTTGGTTTTTTTCAAACCTTATGTCTTATTGTGTCTCGATGTTAAACATGAGTATTTTTAATGTGTAAACTGGTCGGTAGAATGATAATTACCCTAAAAAAAATTATTTGCTCCGCTAAAAAAACTAATTTACTATCCATCAACCCGTCAAACCAATGGCCCCACCTCAAAACCAATGGGTTTTTGCTAGTATAAAGTATTCATAACGTTATGATCATACCGTACTGGATTTTGGGTTCAAATAAAATCAGCGCATATGCTTGTCTTAATAGTAAATCAGGATCATGCCCTCTATCTAATCTAACACGCGTACAACAAATACAGTATGCCCGTTTTATTATCTATTACACAATTAACCAATTCATGATAGTAATAATAATAGTAAAAAATTTTTGTGAAAAGTGTCGCAAATTTTATTTTACGATCATTCAAAAATGTGCGCATCCAAACTTGTATAAATTGTTATACGACAAAATTTTGACACACCGATCTAAGGATCGGACTTATTCCAAAATCAAAAAAAAATTTTTACCCTTTTTTGAATATCAGTTTGAATCTCATTTTACACAGTAGTTGATCCATTAAATCATATTAATATGTGGATATTAATTTGACATGATCGACATAGTGATTGCATAGGACCGGGGAAAACTATATTGTACAGTCAGACTCCTATATACATATTAATATATAAACTCGATAAGTCGGACATGCGGGGGACGAGCTCATATGACCGACTTATCGAGTAAACCGACTTATTGAATTAAGTTATTTAAATATTAAGAAAATGGGGTGAAAAGTTTGGCCAGCTTATCGAGTTTTATATATGTAGTCACATTTTTTATTCCCAATTTTTTTTTTTATTAAAATTAATCATATATAGTCACTTTCATATGCAATCACTATCACCAATATTTGACAGTTCCATAACATATATAAATTTCATCATATATAATCACCAATTCATGTGGCCGTGTAAATATTATTGGCCAATTGAAATTTTTTTTGAAATTTAATAATTACCATTGACATTGTAATTACCATTAATCATTACCATTATTGTTGTTATTATCATTACCATCATTATCGTTACCATGTCTCGACCAAAAAAAAAAACAAAACCGTACAGCTATTATTAGTGAGCAATTGAAAAGAGAAATTTGTATATATTACCAAGAAAATATTCAGAAAAACTCATAAGAAATTGCAAATTATTTTAGTGAAAAAATTTCATTGAATATTGATAGGTCATCAGTAACAAAAATTTTACATGATAAAGAAAAATGGCTAGATGCTTTATCTACAACCCATCATAATGCTTTTTTCCATAGAAAAGTGAGGTTTCCTGAACTAGAAAAAGCAATGAACATATGGATTGGACAAGACAGTGCAAGTGGCCTAATCATTGTTGTTGTTTTTTATATAATTATTATTATTTTTTTATTTTTTTTATACATATATCTATCTACTTGGGATGTTAAATAAAATAAAAGATTTATTATTTTTAAAATTACATAGTAAATAATTATATAGGAGAAATCCTATAAAGTCACATTCAGTTATAATCACCAACAATTCGCATTCCCGACGTTGTGATTATATAAGAGTCTGACTGTACTGCAATCAAACAAGTATTAATATTAGAGTAAAAATGTAATCCCAAAAAAAAATAAACTATTTCGCATGAAAAAATACCGTAGTAATACTGGCTAATAGAAATATATGATAAATGATCTCAAAATCCCATAATTACTCCCAGAATGTCTTTTTAAAGTTTGCAACTTGATAATTAACTCCAAGTAAAATAATTTGACCACATTTGCAAATAACTTTTTAGAATT